AACTTAAAACAGTTTCGGTAACCTAATTTTTGCATTTCGAAATCGATCATGCTCATATTAATATTGTTAAAACAAATTGTTTAAAAAAATGTCTGTCTCTTACCATTATTTTTCATTGAGAACTTAAGTTTATTTAGATAATATAATAAATTTAGTAACCACACAATCTATTCTACGACGATATGAAATTTAACGCTTTGTTTGACGACCAAAGTAGCGACGATAATATTATCTCCCTGAACATGAATAATGATAACAAAGTCTTTGGAGATTTCTCTACTCAATACAGTAAAATGGAAACTTCAAACCAACGCAAATGAACGAACAGCACAGTAATCTCTTTCTAATTGATAATATTTAGGAGTGCACTAAAAGTAAAATAGAACAGTTTTATTTTTTTACATTAAAAAGCATCAACAATTTTTATAAAATCATTGAAGTTGCTTCAACTGAATATCTTCAATTTGTCAAATGTAATTCAGGTTTTGAATTATTTAAACAAATTAATGAAATGGAAAAAGCTTAATTTGCTATGCAAATGAACATTGGCGGCAAGTTAGTGCAGAATTATACCAAATGACATTCCTGTAGAAAGAGAAAACGTCAAATAAATATTTTAATACATTATTAAATATAATATTAGATTGTCTGAGACGATTTATTTTGTGTTCATAATATTTGCACTTTTATGTCTACAATACTATAAATAAATACCCTTCTAGAATCACTTTTAAAGGCCAGTTTATCACCAACACTCCATTATTTTCATTTCTCAAAACCTTTCTATTTTCGGTGATCTGTAACAATATCCAGAATATACCTACACAGCTATAAAGACGAACCATCGTATGCCTCAATTTGGACAGTTACAATGATTCAGTATTTTGAATGGAGGTAAAAATATCACTTTGTTTACATTGTGCTACCTTAATGACAAATTATTCCAAATTCAGGACTTCTTACTCCCTCTAATAAGTATCTAATATGCTTTAAACCTATTTATGAACAGTATCAAACTCAAGTTTACCCCAAGAAAAATATATTCATTTCTGATGCATAATGTGCCTTTAATGTTATTTTACTTGAGGATGCAGGATACTTTTTTGTAATTATAGCTAATGTCGCGAGAGGTTTTCTTCCATTTATCTTCGCGGATTAAATTTACAATGTATATATTTTGTAACGTAATAAATTGTCGTTTCTAATGGCAAATTGAAAATAATTAATCTTACAGGGACGTAAGTGTTGTGTTCAGTTTCTAATAAACTTGATAAATAACTTACAAACGAACTATAAATAGAATTTCACATGACTGTTGACACAATATTACGAAGAATTTAATGCGCCCACTAATTCCAATGATTACATTTAAATTTCAATACTGTCTTTTCAACCTTTTTTATGTCAATTTCGAATAAAACGTAGTGTACAAAGTTGAAAACAAGATTAAAGAGAAAGTGTAAGTAGAGTCGTACAAATTTAATTTCTTCTTTTTTACATTTTTATTATAGATATGTAGATAAGCATCAAGTTAAATAAAAATGAATCATATCAACAGATTTGTATACTCAATGGCCCGGTCAACAAAATACGTATAAAAAAATAGATAAAAAATGTACTCACAAATTAGGGTATTCGGGCAAAACAAGCATTAAGTCAGGTATGACTACGCGAATGATGCCTAGTGTATATCGTTCATACATATTGTTTACGATTTCTAGAACCCCTGTGACAATGTCTTGTAGAACAAAAGCTAGAGAGAAAGAGAGAAACAGAGGCATTCCCCTGAGTGAAAACGGTAATTCATTTCACAACAGTGATAAATGAACTATTCCTTAGCACATATTGCGAAAATACTAAGGGGATTAGAATTTAGATTGACTCTGAATACTCTAAAGTATTTAAGACTAGACAAAATAGCTGAATACGTGTATATTCTATATGATGTAATTTGAGGAACATTTATAGGATACTGTCTAATACTAGTCATGAGAAAAGCGATGAAATATACATAAAAAGACTAAATGATGAGCAGGAATATTAGCTTAAAACAGTTTCGAAACCACAGTGTTCGCAATTTGAAATCGATCATTCTCATGCTCATGTCATTGTAAAATTAAATTGTTAAAGAGAATAAATGTCAGAGACTTACCATTTCTTTTCATAGGGAACTTCAATTTATTTAGATGATATAAAAAACCCATCAAAGTAGCGACTGTTACATTATCTCCCTGAAAATGAATAATGATATTAAAGTCTTTGGGATTGTCTCTACTTAATACAGTAAAATGAAATTTTCAAACCAACGCAAATGAACGAAGGAAATTGATTAGGTGCTATATAAATGAACATTCAACGGCAAGAATATGCATAAAATCTGTTTGATTTGAAAAATTCTGAAATACAGAGGGTCCCCAGGAGTGAAAATAAAAAACAACAAAGTTGCCTGTAGAAAAATAAAACGTTAAAAGAAACTTTCAAATTTTCTACGAATACATATCCTTCTACATGTTCTATCAACATATTTAAATGAACTTTAAACACCCAAACCAAATGGCATTATTATATCATTTTTCAAAATCCTTTTTGGTTCTTTTACAATTTCCAAAACAGTACTTATACAGCTATATAAACAAACCATCGTTTCCATAGTGTGCCTCACTTAGTACAGTATAAGTGTTTTAATATTTTGTATGGAAGTCAATATACCAGGTTGTTCATATTGTGCTACCTTTATGACAAATTATTCTAATTTCAGCACTTCTTACTCCCCTTTATAAGCATCGACTATGCTTTACACCTATTATTAAAGCAATGTAAATCGTGTTTACCCCTAGAACGTGTTTACCCCTAGAAAACATTTCTGAGGGATAATGTTACATTAAAGCTTATATAGGAACTCTTGAGGAAGCTAGAATTTCTTATTATTTGTTGTATATAGCTAATGTCGCAAGAATTTCATTTCTGTTAATCTCACCGGGTCTAATTTATAATGGGTATATTTTTGTAGAATGAATTAATAAATGGTCTTCCTAAGGAAAAAATGATAACATTAAAATAATCTTACAGGGGCGTTGGGTGTGTTCAGTTTCTAATGAACTTGATAAATAACGCACAAACGAATTATGAAATAGAATTTTTCATGACTGTTGACATGATATTACGATATATCTAATACGTCCACCGATTCTAATTATTATATTTAAAGTTCAATACTGCCTTTCCAACAGTATTCTATGTCAAACTGGAACAACATGTAGTCTGAAAGTTAAAATCTAGTTTAAAGAGATAACTACATAATTATAATACACAATTAAAATTCATCTTTTTGACATTTTTATAATATATGTATGTGGATATAAGTATAAGGTTAAAAAAGAAAGAAAAAAAAAACATACTCAAAAATTAGGGTATTCTGACAAAACAATCATGAAATCAGTTATGAGAATACGCCGCTAAATCTACTAGATGTAAGAACTTTAAGACAATAACGTATGTATCGCATCTGAAAACAAATATGTATCTACATTTTTTATCTACATGTACTCGTAAGCGCATGTGAAACTTCTGGATCGATTAATAGTAAGTCTGAAGCATGACGAGTTTATTACTTTTAAAGTGGAAACATCATTTTACTCAATTTAAGTGCATTCTTTTAAAAGAAGTCTGGGATCTAATATTTTATGTCAAGCATTCATGCAAACATAAGTGTGATACTGCTTATCTAGTCGGTAGTTGCTTCTCTCGTTATATAATGTCCCAATATAAGACAATATGAGCTGCGTCACGACAAAACCAACATAGTGGGTTTGCGACCAGCATGGATCCAGACCAGCCTGCGCATACGCGCAGTCTGATCAGGATCCATGTTGTTCGCCTACAAACCCTATTAAAAGTAGAGAAACTGAAAGCGAACAGCATGGATCCTGATCAGACTGCGCGGATGCGCAGGCTGGTCTGGATCCATGCTGGTCGCAAACGCACTATGTTGGTTTTGTCATGACGCGGCTCATATTACATTAAAGGACACAAGATACCAGTCAGTTCTTTCAAAGATAGCAGAAATGCATCTTGACGCATTAGCACGTAAATAAAATTGATTTACAATATCAATAATGATCGTAGATATGAACATTTGAAAATCAAAGACAAAGGCACTTACATTGTATTATCGATGGTCTTTAATTGAAAATTCATGTAATTGATAAAGTAAAGTCTGATCATTCAAGATCATTTGACAGACAAAATCGAAGACAAAAATGATTATTACAACAAACATGTTCAAGGAATAGAAGAATATAATGTGTACCATTCGAAATGATAACTTTCTATACATGCAGTGTACATGTAGTAAACATCATTGCAAATAATGTCACCCTATGTTATTGTCAACGCCACCTAGCATTGGCTTAACAAAGTCTATTTCGTTCTCGTAAAATGAAGAAAAAAAGATTTAGAAACATTTTCGTTTTTAATGTCACTGTTAGTGACTTGTCTGGATAACTAGACAAAATGTCTATGGTAATATTCAATACATATCCAACACAACTTTAAACGAAATGACATAATTATATATTTTCGCCGTCAAGAATTGTAATTTTGAAATTAGTTTACGAATTGTTTGAATTTATAAACATAATCAAATCTATAATTCTAAAAAAAGAATACCGGTATATCTTTGTTTTTAATCATTACACGACAAAGTTTGAATTTGTTGTCATACAAAAACGGATTTTATGAAATAAAAAACCGTCTATGTTCAGAGACTTTTGTTGTTGCCATCTCGTACCACTGAAACCGAAAAATAAATAATAAACGAATCCATAAAATTAGTTTTGACCAACAAGTCTCTTTAATAGAAAATGGGACATGCGATAAGATGCAGTTTGAAATGGTATGCCTGTCATATCAAATTCTGAATTTTGAGACAAGACAGCGTTTCTGAAATAAATTGATGCTTTTCTGGTAACATGCCAGTTATTCATATAACCAACGTATAGATGTCGTGTCAGCCAAATGCAGACGATAAATGTAAGTCTTAAGGCAAAGTTAGGATAATTACATATACCATTGACAAAGTATACGTGATTGGAATCGATTGATTCCTAATTTCTTTTTAGTATGTTTAATGTTTCATTTATTGTATGCAGTTTATTATATGATTATTCTTTCATGTGTATTGTATAAATTCATAAGAGTTTTTTTAGATCCATACAATGTAAAATGAAACAGATAAGGAAAATAAAATAATATTTTAGCATCACTATTTCACGGGATTGAGGGTAGTTTTAAAACCAAACCGAATCATACCCTGATTCTTCCATGATTAATCATCTATGTAATCTGTTTTGTGCCTAACAATGTTTTAATTGAAGTAAAGAATCAATTAAGTACATATGAACACAATTTTATTCAACTGTTCGTCCTAAGATTTACGTGAAATAAATATTTCTAACAGGGTCTTCCCATGTTAACGAAGTGTCTGTTTCTATAAAAAGAAAATGGATACTCTAGGATATTACTAGGACAGTTCGTTTTTAATTAAATTGAAATTCATAATTGACAAATCAGGTAAGACATGTCTCCGACATACGTCAAGTCATATATGAAGGGATAAGCCATGGTTTATATAACCCAGACAGATCATTGCACCTGATAAGTAGATGACATCTTATAATTTCGAAGTCATTGGGTCAGGGTCGCAGTGACGCTAAATGTAAAATTATTGGCCAGTCAATAAATATATAAATGGCATTCTAGTTAATTAGGGAAATTCATATAAATGGTGTAATCTGATTGGTTATTTATCTCGTGGCCACGACTTAGTAACTCGTGGCCACAACTTAGTAACTCGTAGCCACGACAAAGTATTTCGTGGCAACAACTTAGTAACTCGTTGCCACGACATGGTATCTCGTGTCCACGCTTTAGCTATCTCGTGGCCACGACATTGTATCTCTCGTGGCCACGAGATAAATAAAAACACACACATGTCACATTTGTGCCACCGTACAAAAGTCATATTCAGATGTGAATACTTTCTGTGGTTAACAAATTGTGACGCCAGGGAAATTTTTTTAGTTTTGGCTATTATAAAAAAGAACATACAAATAATTTTTACTGTACAATCTAACTTATTCTCAGATGCTACAACCCCTAAATACAACAGTAAACCCCGTGTTTCAATGTCTGAATGCTCTTTCTATTAAAAATTAAATGATTACAAAAAACTACATTAAAATCACACACACACGCACGCAGACACGCAGCAACACACACACACGCACACACACACACACACGTGGCGCGCGCGCGCGCGCACACACACACCACACACACACACACACACACACACACACACACACACACACACACACACACACACACACACGCACACACACCACCGCACGCACGCACACACACACTCGCACACACACACACAGGTGAATCGCTATATGCCACCGCATCGCAGATGCTGCGGTGGCATAAAAATATACTGTAATAATACATACAGAACACGGATTTATATATGTAATATAAATCCGTGATACAGAATGAAGGCTGTTTGGTATAAAGGATTTATTTCATTTTGATTGTTTAAGAAGCTTAAAGCTTATGGCAAACTCTCAAATCCATTCCTGGAACCAACCAGTACCAGTTTCTTTCTCAAAGAAACAACAGCTCGCTTCTGACGGGGGTTTGAACCCATGCGGACAGCAATCCTTAGACTACTGACATGCTAACCACTTGGCCATACTGCCACACACAATAAACATTAATATAAGTTAACAATCTTCCAGCGACATTGTAAAAATGTGAAACAGACAACATTGTATCAAACAAAGAGGTCGTAGATCCTGGACTCTCTGATTCTAGTGGAAATATCTTACGTGACCATTTTGCTGTTACATTTGATGTCAAAGCCTCAAAACCTGCACCGGTACGGAAATTGGTTTCTTACAGAAAACTTCGCGCAATTGACATTGATTCTTTTCGAGATGACATACGGAAAATGGAATTCTTCAACAAAGAGTGTATCCCTTTTGACATAGATGGTTTTATGATGGAATATTCAGACAGTCTAACCTCTATTTTGGATAAACATGCTCCGATGATTAACAAGACTATTACATTGAGACCTGCTTGTCCGTGGTATACAGAGCAACTCCACGAAGCCAAACATGAAAAACGTAAACTGGAACGGAAATGGCGTGAAACTAAACTTACAATAGACCATCAGATCTACAGAACACACTGTTCTAGTGTTAACAAGATGTTAAAACAAGCTCGTGTAGAATACTATACAAGTAAAATAGAGTCTTGTGGCAAAACTGGCAATGATCATAAAAATCTATCTAAGATTACCAAAGGTCTACTTGGAGATACAAATGAAGTGATTCTACCATTTGATTCATCTTCAGAGCGCCTTGCCCAGAAATTCAGTGACTTCTTTATCGGAAAGATTGAAAGAATAAGGAATAACATACGTTCTCAAACACAATCGGTACCGGATAATGTAGATATGGAATCTGAATATACGGGTGTCAAATATACTGTGTTTGCTCCAACCACAGAGCAAGAAGTGAAAGCATTGATTAAAAAATCAGCCACCAAATCCTGTGAGTTAGATCCCATTCCAACATGGCTGTTAAAAGAATGCCTAGATGAACTAACACCAGTGATAACCAGTTTTATAAACGTGTCCTTGGATGCTGCTTATGTACCAAAAATGTTCAAACACTCACGAATAAGACCACTTCTAAAGAAACTAAATCTAGATCCTAACGAACTGAAAAACTATAGGCGTGTGTCTAACTTGCCATTCCTGTCTAAAATCTTGGAAAAGGTCGTTGACGTACGACTTGAGAGCTATTTGAAGACAAATAAACTACAAGAGGTCAACCAATCTGCTTATCGCAAGTTCCACTCGCCCGAGACTGCATTGTTAAAAGTTCAAAATGACATTCTACGGTCTTTGGATAATAACAATGTGACTATTCTCGTGATGCTTGATTTGTCTGCTGCTTTTGATACAATTGATCACGGAACGCTCCTTCGCCGCCTTGAACGACACTTTGGAATTACAGGCAAGCCACTCGCATGGCTGACGTCATACCTGACCGACCGATACCAGACTGTATGCATAAACAACAAACTATCACAGCCAGTCCACATGGAGTACAGTGTACCTCAAGGGTCTGTCCTGGGACCCAAGAGCTATGTGATGTATACGAAACCTGTCAGAGAAATCTGCCGTAAACATGATCTAAACAACCATTTCTTCGCAGATGACTCACAACTCTATCTATCCTTCACACCAGTGACTAATATTTCAATTCAAGAGAATATAAACCGTATTGAAAGATGTCTTGAAGATATTGTAAGTTGGATGAATGCCAACATGCTGAAGCTAAACGGCGATAAAACAGAGTTGATCATCTTCTCATCTGAACATAACGCACAACCTGTTTCAGATGTTACAGTAACAGTCAACGGTTCGAAAATTAGCCAATCATCTAGTGTGCGCAATCTTGGTGCATTTCTTGACTCGAACATGAGGATGGAACAACATGTAAATAATGTCTGTAGGAACTGTTATGCACAATTAAGACAAATCGGTCACATCAGACCCTATCTTACTGTTAAAGCAACCAAATCTCTAGTAAATTCACTTGTTACTTCTATGTTAGACTACTGTAATGCACTGTTATATGGAGTCTCTAAGCAGTCAATGACCAAGTTACAACATGTTCAAAATACAGCAGCTAGAATTGTGACCAAAACACTCAAATATGACCACATAACACCTATCTTACGTGAACTTCACTGGCTTCCGGTAGAGTATCGGGTCGAATATAAAATTTTGACTTATACATATAAATCCCTCATCGATCAATCACCAGCCTATATAAAAGACATGATAGACGTGTACATCCCAGTCAGAAAGCTGAGGTCCCAGAATAACTCAATGACATTAGTTGTGCCTAAATCTGGGACAGTACGATATGGTGACAGGTGCTTCCAGACAGCCGCAGCGAAATTATGGAACGCGTTACCACCTGACGTTAGAGTCTGTAATACCTTGCCATGTTTTAAGAGAGCTCTCAAAACACATTATTTCATAAAGTTCTATGGACGTTAGTTCATAAATCATCATACATGTACTACTTTTGCTATATTATCAGTGTTAATTTTAATTGTGCCTTGATTTTAAACTAAATGTGTCTGTATTTCTTACCATCCTTTACTGGTTTTAGATTATCATTATTGTTTAATAGGTTTACTTAATTAATGTTGTACATTATGTCTTATATATATATGATTATGTTTTATCAGATTTATGTAAAGCACTCTTGAACATTTGTTATTTATGAAAAGAGTGCTATAGAAATGTGGTATATAATAATAATAAAATAATAAAAAAAATATACTTGTCAAGTTTGGGAAATGAAAAAAAAGATGTAAGGGGGAATGTCCTTGGGCAGAATAAGAAGTTGTAGCCTTTGTCAATCGGCTAATAGGGGGAATTAAACTCAAATAAAGAATTTCTGATATAGTTTTCAAATCTAACAGTTAGGTTAATTCATTCGGAGGTGATTTTCTTTAACTTTTCTTCATGAACCAATACAACTTGAAACTTAAATACATGCATGTACGCTGATCTGCTAATTTCAAATTATATTTTGAAAATCGTGAATTAGAATGGTTTCAAGGAACTACCAGTTTGACAAACTTAATTCATGAAGAGATATGAAAATGTTTTGCCAATCGTACCGGTATGTTTATTAAATAGTTACTTGATTTGTTTTGTTATTTATAATACTTTATTTTTGTCTTGGCCATTTCTCCTTAACTTTAAAAGCTATTGACATGAAACTTTATAGGATGACAGTTCTCATTGAGATGAAGTGCAGTGCACAAAAACCGCTACTCCATGATTTTTGAGTTATTGCCCTTTGTTGACTTTCTTACTTTATTGTTATCCCGGCAATTTCACCTGAAATATAAAAGCTACGGACTTAAATCTTCATAGATGATATCTCTCATTAAGAATAAGTGCAGTGCACAAGAACCGATACTCTGCACTTCTTAATTTTTTAGTTATTGCCCTTTAGTGGTGTTTATAAATAACCTATATAAGTGTCAGTTATACTGTTCACAAGGCCACACATCCGACTCGCGGAGTTCTAATTAGCCAGATTGTAAACTTAGTTTGTAAATTTAGGAAAGAGGATGTGACAAGACTTCAGAGGTAAAACTTCAATACATTTGATAATTTAATTGGTTTCTGTGATATCATCACATTCTTTATGATTAAAATAACATGATAATGTGGAAATTTCATTAAGTAGACTTATTGTGTCGCCTTGAAAAGGTGACATATAGGGGTTACTTTTGTCGGCAGCGTCGGCATTGGTGTTTGCGTCGGCGTCCCCGAAAGCTTGTCCGGAGCATAACTCAGTCACTATAAGTTGGATTGACTATGCTTGTTTTTTAAATGACCCGAAGTGCAGTGCACAAGAATCGTTAATCCGGCTTTTTAATTTTTTGAGTTATTGTCCTTTGTTAATTTTCTTACTTTATTTTTGTGCGGGCCATTTTTCCTAAACTATAAAAGCTATGGACTTAACCTAGTTGTGTAACAAAATAATAATAATAATAATAATAATTGTATTATTATTATTATTATTATTTTAAGAATAAATATTGGTTGGAAGTTATTAAAATGTAATTTTGATAGATCAGATATTACTATTACACAAGTCGCAAGTGTATGTAAGCAAGGGCAAGGAATTTGATTGTTATGAATTATAATAGCACTTTGTGTGATTATATTGTTTACAAGCATGATAAGACGTGTATCAAACATGTTTTAATATCAATGTGAACTGTATAGAATGTCAATGTATTAATTTTCTGTATCCGAATTCTTTATTTATCCGACACGATTTACATTTTCATTTAAGATAGTACTAGTTAATTACTGTGAGCAAAGAATTTGGTGCCGTAAGGAAAATATTTGGATTAAAAGGGTACAGATTAACAAGGTCCCACATTATGCACTAATCGATCTCTCGTAAATATAGCACTTATTGCAAATTTATCACTGTTTCAGTTTCATCTTTAAGCATATCAGGTTGGTACACGTGTTTCTTGCGCTTTTCTGTCACTGGCACAAGAAGAGCAAAAGGGTAATACTTAGAAACATCACTGTAACGCTTGTATTGAAAACAACAGTTAGATAACCGTTGTTTTAGTAAGTTTGTCTTCGCCACTTATTCGAAATCAAAAACATTTTCTAATGTTTCGCCGACCGCCTTTTCAAACATAATAGATATATTATATATTATATATAAAAGATATCTGAAAATACATTTGAAAATAGGACTCTCAAAGATTGCGATGTTGCGTGCTTGTCTTTAAGGGTGTGCCATTCTATACCTTCATTTATTGTTTTTTTTTTGTTCTGTTTTTGTTTTTTGTTGTTGTTGATTTCTTTTTTTTCTTTGTTAAAATTGTTTCTGTTGTTGTTGTTTTTCGTTAAATTGATAACAATAAATATAATTGAATACATTATTATGTTATCATTTTTATTTGGAACGTTTTTTTACATAAATAAGCATCTGATAGTAGGTCTTGCAAGAAAATTATTGTTTTATATTGGTTTCTTTTACACCACTGCTTTCTTGTTGTCGTTTTCGTCGTTTTTTCTTTGTCAATCTGTAGCAGACAATAATCTAAGTAAATGCACTGGCAATAACGTAAATAACTATGCACTTACAATATATATGCAATCTAATCACATAAAAAATGAAAATGATAGTTTCATTAAAAACAGTGAAAATGTTTAGTATGAAAACAAAAGCATGCTATATGTATATTTGGTTAAAAACACAGAGAGCTTCAACCATTGATCAAAATAGGAGACATACTTCTGATGTTGATAAAAAATACTATATGAAAATACTTTATGATTTCTTTTACTGATTAGAAACAAATAAATTATGACTGTTAAAAAAGTCGACTTACTGTATCCAAAGACTTCAACTTCACAAAGATGAAATATTACCAGCTTGTCCCTTAAAGTTATTCGGACGAAACGAGCAATCACTGGATCAAATTGAAATGATTTGAAATCACCTATTGCATTTTCCTGATACGCTACCACCGTCCAATTACCACCTTCCTCTGTTGTTACGGAGATCTCAACATTTGAAGCTCTATCAGCTAAATATAACGATAAATGTTTATTTCAAAGTAACAAAAATAATGTGCTCTATTACCTAAAAATAAAACTAATTAATATTTTATCCCGAAAGCAACTACAAATACAAAAGTGGCTGCATATTGTGCTGATGAAATTGTTGCATTTTTTAGTGTAATATCACAAAAGTACAACATGTATACACGTATAACAAGCTCGTACGTGGTGAATGGATTACATGGATTACATTTTTCTTTATATGAAATAATTTGTTTACGTGGAAATCTGTAAGGTTAAAATAAACCAACAACAGGAAAGTATTTTATAAAACCTCTCATTTCATATTTTCATTGGATATGAGCAGCCACTTTTTCGACTGACTTATTTCCCAAAACTGACCCATTATACCACCAGATAATAGCAAAATAGCTGCTATTCAACAAAGATAGACTTTTTGAAATTATTTTTCCGCGTAACATGACAAATTTCAATTAATATTTTTGTCTCCATGCTGACCTCCACCTTGTCAATTCATCGGTTCAACAACTTTGTATGATGTCAAAAAATATATCAAATATTATACCTTCATAGTTTCATATGGGTGTCTTCATATATGTTGCAAAGGCACATTTGTAATAAGAAGTAGGCTGTATTTTGTGATTTTAAATAATACAATAAATTTTTTAATTGAATATGGAGTTGATTTCTCAAACTTACCTATGCTGTACATGATAAATCATGACTAAAAAATGAATTTCAGAAAAAAATAATGATAATAGGATAAATTGATAAAGAATACACCACCAGTCGTACAAGGTTAAAAATACGGGAGTGGTGGAAATTACATCATTTAATGAGTTTGTCGTTGAGACGTTACGAAATTATATAGGTGACCTGTCGGATGAACTGAGACCTCGACTATAGCCTTAGTCATATTCATCCAAAAGGTGCCCTATATTTCCGTACTGGGTCAGTAACAAACACAATGCACATGTTATAAATATATTCATCCTTAAAAGTGAACAACAGTTTAATTAAATAAGTAACAAACTTCAAACATGTTTAAAGACTCAAAAAGGCCAAGAATAATCTGTTTCAAAATTATTATTCGAATATCTTAATGAATTTAATAATTTACAATAAATTAAAAAAAGTAAAATATTTTAGTAATATAGCCAATGTAAACACATACTGCAGCAATCCTTCCTGTTGGTAATATCAACTTTACTTATGTAATATATATCCTGAAGATCCACTTGCCACCAGGGACTCATGATTTCTCCAGTATGGAAACAATGGTTGTTAGCCATAGTGGTATCAGCATTTCCATCATTGCCCATGTCAGCAATCCAAATTTTGTTTTGTCCATCAAAGTTATTTATCTGACTCGCTGGTTTTCCTTCGGAAAGTTTAACGAGAGCTGAAGCAAAAATGCCAGATATAAGAATAGAGAGAAATAAAGAATCCCTAAAGAAAGCCCAACAAGACAAAATTGAAAATGTTGCAGGCTCGGTTTCATTGAACCTGTTCATGAGTTCAAGTTACCGTCCACGCCCCTAGCACCGGCTTATGCAGAATTCAACATTTAAGTTAAAGAATGCGTGTGCCCTAAACGAGAAAACAATGGACGGAACTAAATAAAATGGAATTTCGAAAGGGGATCAGAGGTTATGAAGCCTGCATATCACAGATATGACGTCAAAAGACAAATTTAAAAAGCAGGCAACATATCCTAAGGGTGTTTCAACAATATTCAAGTAGGAATATTGGAACCACCAAACTAGAGAAATGCCAAAAGTAAAAACTGAAAGTACCACAAACACAACAATAATGTCGTGCTGAGGATCACATTTATTTGAAAATACATTTTTCATCACCAATTGTTTTATTGCCTTAGAAGTCCCAATCATTAACAAAATGAAGACAGTTCTACCTAATGTAAACGCAACATGAACAAGGTGACAACTACCAGCCTTTAATTAGCCAAGTAGTCGGTAAAAAAGATTCAGATTGGAAATACTTTTTACAAGGGTACAGTGTTTGTAAAGGAAAAATTACCTTAGTGAATAAATTTAATGTTTTATCATCGGTTAACCAGCATCGAACATTTACGGTCGTTTAATACAACTGGTTACTACACTAGGCAACATTTTATATTGAATTGCATATGAAACTCTCAACAGTTATTGGTAAAATGTGTAAGAACTAAAAAAAGTCACATGTTGTAGTTTGTAAATGAATGTGATTATATGATGAAACTATAACTAACAGAATTGTGACAATAACTACTTTATTATTAGTTCAAATTGAGAATGTTGAAATTTCTTTCATCTTGACCATACATTTTGGAATGTAAATATCAACGTTTTGTTAGGTATACTGAAAAACGAGATGTTAAAAAGAAAAAATGTCTTAGAATCATTCGAATAAATTGCATTGATGCATGAATTTGTTTTGATCACATTAAATATTGCCGTCAATGTATGGTAAAAATATAAATTGTATTTACGTTTCGCATTTTCACATGTATTTCCATCAAACCCAGGCGCACATGTACATTTAAAGTTATCGATTCCATCAGCGCACACACCGCCGTTCAAACATGGATTATCAGCACAATCATCGACAGGTGTCTCTTAATAAATGTGACATAAAATGAAATGAAAACGTCCACCCAGCGGGTAACACTGATAATAAATGGTTTTATTTCGACTATATGAAGGTAAGATTTATATCCCTACAGAATATTAAATATTTTCAGTTATAAAAGTCAGTCTGTTTGGAAAATAATTTCTCATTTTAAGTTATAAATTTCAACAGCATTTAAAATGCCACGAATGGAAGGAATATAAAATGGAAGAAAATGACAAAACAGTGTTTGTGACTTGAATTTAAACTTAGCTCCCTACATGTTAAAGGTTGGATGCCTTACCTTGTCCGTAGATTTCCACTTCACATAGATGAAACGCTATCAGCTTATCCCGTAAGGTTATTCGGACGAAACGAGCTTTCACAAGATCAAATTGAAATAATTTGAAATCACCTATTGCATTTTCCTGATACGCTACAACCGTCCAATTACCACCTTCCTCTGTTGTTACGGAGATCTCAACATTTGAAGCTCTATCAGCTAAATATAACGATAAATGTTTATTTCAAAGTAACAAAAATGATTTGTGAAAGTGTTTACAAATTGTGTGAATAGTTTTGTTGAAATTTTGAAAAAGTGTAAAATTGGATAAAACAAATTTCGGATTCATTACACCGACAAATATGGCTAAATTTCAAACTAGCAGATCGTCTTTAATTGAAAGTTATAGCTTTTGTAGAAGCCATACATAAGAGCATTCGTCTCTCGCTTTACCTTCTTCTGACCCAAAAGAAAACCTACATTGGTCAGTGACAACCTCGATAATTTATTTGTACAACCACGGATTTATATCCGTGGTTCAACAAGAAATTTAATATGAGCTTCATAAATGTTTCATGACTTATTGAGGCTGAAAAATAATCTTTTTCAAAATTTAAATTAAAAATTGACCTTATGACATTAAATATATTTTATTTACGTTATTCAAAAGATAATATAATGTAAAGAAAAATAAGATATAAGCTACATACAGCAGCAGTCCTTCCTGTTGGTGATATTAACTTGACTTATGTAATATACATCCTGAAGATCAACTTGCCACCAGGGACTCATGATGTTATTTTTAGTATGGAAACAATGGTTGTTACGAATATTGGTATCAGCATTTCCATCAACGCCTTTGTCAGCAGTCCAATTGTTGGTTTCATTATCATAATTACTGATCTGACTCGCTGGTTTTCCTTCGGAAAGTTTAACGAGAGCTGAAACAAAATGCCAGTTATAAGAAACCATAACATTTAGAATTACATTTATTTAAAAATACATTTTCATCACAAATTGTTTTATTACCGTAGAAGTCCCAATTATTAACAAATTGATGGCTTTTCTACCTTATGTAAACGCAACAAGAACAAAATGACAGCTATCAGCCTTAAATAAGCCAAATAGTCGATAAAAAGGAGGCTGGAGATTGGAAAGTTTTTATAAGGGTTTAGTTTTTGTAAAGAAAAAAATCATCTTAGTGAATACATTTAATGTTTTACAAGTGCATATCATTATATCTGTACCTCGTCATCGGTCAAGCAGTATCGAACATTTACGGTCGTTTAATACAACTGGTTACTACACTAAGCAACATTTTATATTGAATTACATATGAAACTTTCAACAGTTATAAGTAAAATGTGCAAGTACTCAAAAAGCCACATGTTGTAGTTGGTAAATGAATGTGATTATATGATGAGACTGTAACAGAATTGCCACAGTAACTATTTTATAATTAGTTCAAATTAAGAATGTTGAAACTGTTTTATTCTTGAACAGACATTTTGGTATGTAAATACCAACGTTTTTGTTAGGTGTAATGCAAAACGGGATGTTAAAAAGAAAAAAAAATGTCTTAGAATCATTCAAATAAATTGCATTGATGCATACAAAATTTAATATTGGGTCAATTTATGGTTAAGATATAAATTGTATTTACGCTTCGCATTTTCACAGGTATTTCCATCAAACCCAGGCGCACATGTGCAAGTGAAGCTATTGATGCCATCAGTGCACACACCGCCGTTCAAACATGGATTATCTGCACAGTCATCGACAGGTGTCTCTAAATAAATATGACATGAATGAGAACGTCCACCGAGCGGGTAACACTAATAATAAATGGTTTTATTTCGACTATATGAAGGTAAGATTTATATTCCTACAGAATATTAAATATTTTTATTTACAAACGATATAAGTCAGCCTATTTAGAAAATCATTACTCGCTTTTAAGTTATAAATTTCAACAGCGTTTGAAATGCTACGAAGAGAAGGAATATAAAATGGAAGAAAATGACACAACAGTGTTTGTGACTTGAATTTTAACTTAGCTCCCTACATGTAAAAGAAAAGAGGCCTTACCTTGTCCAAAGACTTTAACTTCACATAGATGAAATATTACCAGCTTGTCCCTTAAAGTTATTCGGACGAAACGAGCTTTCACCTGATCAAATTGAAATGATTTGAAATCACCTATTGCATTTTCCTGATACGCTACCACCGTCCAATTACCACCTTCCTCTGTTGTTACGGAGATCTCAACATTTGAAGCTCTATCAGCTAAATATTACAATAAATGTTTATTTGATAACAACAAAAATGATTTGTGAAAGTGTTACCATATTTTTGAAATTTTGAAAAAGTGTAGAATCGGATAAAAAATTTTTCGACAAATATGGCTAAATTTCAAACTATCGGATCTTCTTAAATTGAAAGTTTTAGTCTTTAAAGATGGCCATACATAAGAGCACTCTTCAACTTTATATGATGTCAATAGTTGTATCAAATTTTAATTAAATACGAACTTGAAACATGTTAAATAATTAAAAAAGACCAAGAATAATCCGTTTCAAATTTTTAATTCGAATATCTTAATGAATTCAATAATTAACGATAAACCAGAAAATCTATAATATTTTAGTAATAAAGCAAATGTAAAAAAATAGATACATACAGCAGCAATCCTTCCTGTTGGTGATATCAACTTTACTTATGTAATATATATCCTGAAGATCCACTTGCCACCAGGGACTCATGATTTCTCCAGTATGGAAACAATGGTTGTTAGCCATAGTGGTATCAGCATTTCCATCATTGCCCATGTCAGCAATCCAAATTTTGTTTTGTCCATCATAGTTATTTATCTGACTCGCTGGTTTTTTCTCGGAAAGGTTCACGAGAGCTAAAGCAAAACAGCCCGTTATAAGAAACCATAAATTTTCAAAATCACTTTTATTTGAAAATACTTTTTTTCATCGCCAATTGTTTTTATTGCCTTAGAAGTTCCAATTATCAACAAAATGAAGGCATTTCTACCTTATGTAAACGCAACAAGAAAACAGCTATCAGCCTTTAATTAGCCAAGTAGTTTGTAAAAAGGCTGGAGATTGGAAACAATTTTTACAAGGGTACAGTTTTTGTAAAGGAAAATTTAATCTAGTGAATACAATTAAGTGTTTTATCATCTGCACCTCTTCATCGTTTAAACTGTATCGAACATTTACAGTCGTTTAATACAACTGGTTACTGCTCTACGTTACATTTACTATTGAATTTGAAACTGTTCTTAAACAATAATAATTGAAATAATAAGATAGCTTTCAGTTGATTGCTTTTTACCTGCGTTCGATTCAGTTGTTTTCAGAACAGTCATAAGCAATAGGCATACCTGAAGTATTAGTTATTTGTCATTAAATATGAGCATTTTACAACTTTTGTTGGTTTAATATCTGTTCTGTTTCTATAAATCATCATATTATTGGGATGATAATTGTGAATTATAATACATATTATAATTTAAGTATAGGATAAAGTTTGTTAGTACATATTTACTATACGCACCAGTCGTGCGACCAATTAAAGTTTGTAAATACGTACTGATAAATTTCAACCAGCGTAGTGTTCTAAATTATTTTGATAAACAGTCGATTTACTAGACTGATTAAAGCTGCACGCCTCCAGATGAGCCAACATATTTCAAGAAAATCAATATTGAGAAAAATGTACTACAATTTTAAGAAAGGTAAAATCATTCAAGATCCAAGATAGATTTTTAATGTTATGTACGGTTTAAGACTGTTTTTGCAGTATTTTATCACATATTTCTTCTGCGTTCACTAACTCTGTAATTTTTGGTAATTTTCTTAGATTGTAAGTGCCGATTGCAATATGTAAATTACTATTTTTGTTCACCTCACAATATTTTACTTTCAAATACATATCTAAAATTTTCATGAAAATTAACATGAATCTGGAGGCGTGCTGCTTTAACAGTTTACATATTTACCAAAGTAATGTGTTACGATTCATTTGAAATACTGCAATCCTATTGGACAAAAAAAAATTCAAACACTAAGTTTTACGCGTATGTTAATGAGAAATGTGATTTGAAATCAATGTTATACCAAGGAAGGGAATATCAACGTCTTCATTCTTTACAGATTGACAATATTCCCAGTAGACAAGAGTGAAGTCAAAAAGGTCTATTTTCTTCTGAAATTACAAAACATGTAATTTATTCAACTAACACAAGTGTAAAATTATTTTTCTATGTTAAACTTTTACTACAGAACACATTCTTCCGCTGATCGGCGACATATCCATTTAACAAGATTTGACCATTTCTAACCCTATCACAATCAAAATGGAGAAAAATACCACGTGATACAAAAAAATTCAAAATGGGGTGCTTACGGAGCAAGCCGTCCACCATGGTTTTTCTGTCGAGTTACCTTTATATATAGAATTTAAATAATGTACGAAGCTCGAAACCAGGGAAATATAATTTCAGGTAAAAAAGATGTATACATATTTTACATGAATATCTTAAAATAGTAATATTCAAATCATTTTCAAATAAATGTTATGAAATAATACAAAGTCCTAGCTAAGACAACCATATGCCTTGGACAAAGAACATAAATGAGATTCATGTTCTAAATACAAAACATATCAAGGCTTAGATTAAAATATGCTTTTTTTTCATTTTGACCAAACTTCTTAGAATTTAATTACAATGAGTTATACAGAATATGTTTCTTAATATGCAATACCTATCTACCTTGATTTTGACCTGCCAGTGGGCATACAAAGAAAACATTAATTTAAGATTTATTTAATAGCGTTTTTTTAGATTAATAATAATCTAAGCGATTCTTCTGGCATTAATTAAGTTCACAATATGACAAAAGTGTGCGCTTCAAGTTCATTTCTATGAACCTATAACAGTTATCATAGCTTACTAATTACGGTTTTAAATAACAATATCCATAACATCTTAAGCGCTCTATAAAATTCACAGAACATAAAAATTGTATCACAAATTCATATCGTAAAAATATATCAAAAATATATCCGTTATTTAAATATTTATTTGTGATTTAAAATGACGTACATTTGATATACGCTTTGCATTGGAAAACGGAGCCGCTACCCATAGTTAATAGGGACGTTCCTGGTATAACTCCCAACCGCGGAAACAATTAGATTGTTCATTTCCGATTAAATGTCCCTCTCTTTGAGTTAGCCTTCATCCTGCCTTTTCATTTAACCGGCATAAAGTTCAAGCTGATTTTCCATGAAAACTTCCGAAGATAAGGATTAGTTACACAAAATGCTACACAACAACGTAAAAGTAATTTTGTATTGATTTAAATTAAATCCAAAAACTTACTTATAGTAACAGCATAATTATACAAGTGGTTTAGTAAAGACCTGGTAACAACTCGAGCGCTACGCGCTCTCAGTGCCACATGAAATTCGTGACCAGGTCTTTCCTAAACAGAAACACCTCGAACTCGGTTGATATCCAATACATAAAGATAAATATTTAGAAAGAAAAAAGAAATGTTAAAAATAAAATAATATTTCTACTCACATGTTTCACTGACAAAGTTGCATATGCCGGTATTTCCATAGTTTGCGTTGATTTATTTATACATGTACTGTCTACCTTGCAACATATTGCAACATTTCAAAAGCCAGAATATACTACTCTAGCAAAAGATTTTAATCATACGCTTAACACTTTGTTGTTAACAAAGATTTATGGAGTTGACAATTCCATTTGAAGATATGATTTTCAAGCAATTGTTTTACTTGTAAGCCTTTTGAAGAAAATGCCAACAAAAGATTTTTCAAAAGTAAAAATTGGTGAGGATGAGATTATTGAATTCCCTAGAAGCCTAAAGTAAGAGTAAAAATTTAATTTACTATATAAAATTAAAAAAATTTTTTTGGCTAAGGATTTTTCTTTATGTATTAAATTTAAAAATTTTCCCTTTTTTCGCTTTGTTTTTTTTAATACCATAAAATATTTTGAATCAAAATTTCATGTTCTTCGATGAGAAATTATCGACTCAAAAATTTTCATGAATGTGAACCAAGTTCAAGGAAAAACAATTAAAAAGATACTTTTTATGCGTCCAAAAATTTAATTTTTTGCTTTTTATAAAAAGGTTTTTTTTAAATTATCCAAAAATTATTGTTATTTGTTTTTTTTATAAAATTTTTACAAACGATGTCTTTTTTCATGTTCCAGAAAAAACTCATTAACATGATAGCTTTTAATTTTTACATTTGCAGGGCCTCTTGAAAATTGGCTACTACCAAAACAATTTTTGCCTCTTTTTTATGAAAATTCAGAAAAGTGAAAATGTAGGCTTCTGTTTATCATATATCATTTTTTTAAATTTTGAAATACTTTTATTTTGGAAAATTTCTAAGCAGCAGTTTCAGAATGATAGATTTTATGGATTCTATCAAAAGGGAAACATCTGCGGGGATTTTGATTGAAAATTACATATTTATTTTTAATTTTTTAATAGAAAATAATTTTTGCATTTTAATATTTTTGTCATTTATTTGCCTGAACATCACTCAATGTCCAATAAATGTTAATAAATATTTCTTTGGCATAGACCAAGACCCAAGTTTAAACGCACATGTGGTTAATTTTGTTACATCATTCTAATTAGGGACCAAACAGGAGGATAAAATGCATTGTTACAGTCTGATATTACCAAAATACCATATCCCTGTGAGGGTCATAGTACATAATCCCATAATCCCAAGGAATGGTTTCGGCTATTTTACAGCTAAAAAAAGACCCTTCCTATTTATAAGACCACCCACAATTTAGGCCAATCCGCAATTTCTATTATTAATTTCTGAAATTATTTAAATCACACTGCTATCAACCATTCTACATCCCATTTCTTTGTTTTTAGTCTAAAAACTGGTTCCGCTAATAAAACAATCACTCGTTTGAAACACTTTAGACGAAACTCTTGTGATTGTATAAATGCAAACTGAGCTGTAAATAAACGAAACGTAAACAAGGAATCAATGTAATACAAAGGTTGCCGTTCACATTGGATTTTATTAAGTGCTAATTCTTATTTGATTTGTGAATAGATTATTTTATCAGTTTGATAAAGTCATTAAGACAAGTTGAGAAATTAATATAATTATTTTTCAGTGTTATGTTGCAATACATTCTTATATGAATTCATGTTAAATGGATGTATTTACAATTAAATATATGTTCACAATGAAAATATTGACACTGTGATAGAATATCTAAACCTAAAGGTATTTAGCACATTCCAAAAATGATCTTTAACACCCAGCAGTTAAACCCCATTGGTGACCCAGTAGAAATGAGCTGACGGCGGTTTGAGACGGAAAATGAATATGTTTGCAGGTACGTACATGTCATTTCATACAGATTTATGTAAAACTACAAAATGTGATCAGTATAAAAGCTGTTATCATGCATTCATAGCACAAAGACAACAGCCAGGAAAATGTATAGATATCTTTACACTTGGATAAAGCATTCAATGGTATAGAATTGTAGCTATCTGATTATGTACATTGTAAGTTTCACATCAAAACAACAGCGTATGGGACAAATTTATAATTTTGACAGAATTTGAATGAATATGTAATATAAGATTAATCTACAGTGAAAGAAACCCTGTCAATGATTTATAATAATGGTGTGGTGGTGATCTGATTGCGAGTTCTTCGTCAAAACAAAAAATGCCACCAGACTAGTAAATGATGATTAACTTTCAAATTAAATGTAAAAGTATATATATATTTTAAAGTCTTAATAATGTCATACTCTACCAATCAATGATATCATCTGCTTTTGATGGTTTGAAGTTTGATCACAATCGCAAAATTTCACCTATCAATAAATTAATGCTAGATGATAATTACAGGTAACATATCTTTGTCAAAAATATTCACAAATATCTTAAATTGACCTTCATCGTATAGCTTTTGATTAAAATGTTTGTAGGCATGCTAAATATGTAAGCTCTAGCGCTTTGAGTTTTTTTTAAATACACATACATGTATAAAGACAAGAACAGGGTGATGCTCCCCGAGAGGTTTTGGACACAGGAAAGTATAAAAAAATGAACAAAGTCAAAAACTCCAAAATTAGCCAACGCTGAGTTATGTCTTTTTGCACTGCACTTCTATTCAATGATATATATCTATCTATGAAGTTTCGTGATGACATCTCTTATAGTTCCAGAGTTATGTCCCGTGTAAATTCAAAGTGTAACAAGAAATGTCGAACGACACATATGACCCCTTTCTAGCCCTTGACTCACATTATTGGTAATTTTGTTAGAGAAACTTGCCATAAATGGGTACATTGAAGTATTCAATTATGGCAAAAAGAAAAATAATGAAGACTTTGCGATAAATATTTTTCAAGATAATGAGACATTTAAGGCCCCTAGGACCTTGACCTTTAACCTAGTGACCACAAATCAATAGGGGTCAATAACAAGTTATGACCGATCAATATTAGAAATATGAAGGCTTTGTGATGAATAGTTTTCAAGATAATAAGCGGAAACTATTCTGACATTTAAGGCCCCTGTGGTAGTGACCCCAAAAGCAATACAGATCATCTGTTGGTAATGACCAATCACTATGCGAAATATAAAGACTTTGTGATAATTATCTTTCAAGATAATGAGCTGAAACCCTCTACCATTCAAAGACCCTGTGACCTTGACTTTTGACCTGGTGACCTCAAAATCAATAGGGGTCATCTACTAGTTATGAGCAATCAATATGTGAAATATGAAAACTTTGTGATAAACGGTAACAAAAGGTAATTAGCGGAAATCATATTAACATTCAAGGCCTCTGTGAAATTAACCTTTGGCCTAGTGACCCCAAAATCAATAAGGGTCATCTACTAGTTATGACCAATCAATACTTGAAATATGAAGACTTTGTGATGAATTGTAACCAAGATAATGAGTGGAAACCATTCTGACATTTAAAGCCCCTGTGACCTTAACCTTTGACCTCAAAATCAATAGGGGTCAATGCCTCTGTGAAATTGACCTTTGGCCTAGTGACCCCAAAATAAATAAGGGTCATCTACTAGTTATGACCAGTCAATACGTGAAATATAAAGACTTTGTGATGAATTGTAACCAAGATAATGAGTGGAAACCATTCTGACATTTAAGGCCCTTGTGACCTTGACATATTATCATGCTATTATTTTCTAATTTCTCCAAATCTTTTTGGTGTAATTTTAAGTATCCAAAAAGTTACAGATTGGCCAATTATCAGAACCATCTTTTTCATCTGTTGCTTTTTGGCAATAAGTATAATTATAATGAATTACATGTAGTATTTTGTATGGAAGTCAAAATACTGCTTGTATTTACAAATTGCTATGGGTACTTTTAAGACTCAGTATGTCACATTTATCTCTGTTTTGTTCAGGTAACAAGCATCTAACATTTCTCTAACCATTATAACATTCATGTTTGCCCTTTCTAAAGAAGTAAGAATTTATTTGTTTCTGAGGCATTTAAGTTTAAGCAAACACATATTTCTAATACCTGTGATAAAGATTATATTTTAATGAGTTAAGATACTCCATCTGTTTATATTAGAAAGTATTTCTATGACAGCTTCAAAGCATTCTTTTTTTCCATAAAGTCTCAAAACTAGTAAATGTATTAAAATATAATGTAATAATACATACAGAATGAAGGCTGTTTGGTTATCCCCCGCCGATGGAATCGGGAGGGGGATATTGTTTTGGCGTTGTCCCTCTGTCCGTCCTTCCATCCGGCCGTACATCCGGGTGAACATCCAATGGTATATGAGCTTCATTCTGTCCATAATTTAAGTTAAAAAAAGAAGGAAATCCCATTAACCGACTGGTTTATGTGGTAATTTTACTGGTTAATGGGGGAAAATGTCACATAAAGATCAAAGATAAAGCACATAAACCCTAATTGGTGGCACGTCCGTCCATCCATCTGTCCGTCCGAATTTCGTTTCCGGACTAGTTCTCTGCAACTACTGGCTGGAATTCAACGACACTTAATGAGAATCATCAATATCAAGAGGAGATGCGCATATCGTCAGCTTGTTCCAGTCGGACCCTTTAACTCAGAGTTATGGCCCTTGATTAGTTATGCAGTATGCATTATTCAGTATGTATATAGAGCAAAATAGTTTCCGCGCTACTTCTCTGCAACTACTGGCTGGAATTCAACAAAACTTTATGGGAACCTTCAATACCAAGAATGAGATGCGCATATCATTGCCTTGTTTCGGTCAGGCACTTTACCTTACATTTATGGCCCTTGATTAGTTATGCAGTATGCAACCAGAGCAATAATCGTTTCTGTGCGACTTCTCTGTAACTACTGGCTGGAATTCAACGAAACTTTATGGGAACCTTCAATACCAAGATGAGATATGCATATCGTCGCCTTGTTCCGGTCAGACACTTTAACTCAGAGTTATGGCCCTTGATTAGTTATGCAGTATGCATATAGAACAATATTCGTTTCCGCGCTACTTCTCTGCAACTACTGGCTTGAATTCAATGAAACTATATGGGAAC